TTTTCATATGATTGGAATAGATGTAATAGGACCATTACCAAGAACAGAAGAAGGAAATAAATATATAGTAGTAGCAATAGATTTCTTTACGAAATGGCCAGAAGCAAAAGCAATAAAAGAAGCAAATGCAAAAGAAATATCAAAATTTATTTATGAAGAAATAATTTGTCAACATGAATGTCCAAAGAAAATACTTACAGATAATGGATCAGAATTTAATAATCAATTAACTAAAGATCTTACAGAAAAATTTAATGTTCAACATAAATTCTCAACTCCTTATCACCCTAAAACAAATGGATTAGTAGAACGATTTAATAAAACATTAATAGAATCATTGGCAAAATTAGTAAAAGAAAAATTAACGATATATAGAAATAGAGAATATGAAGATAAAAATTGGGATCAAAGAATAGCACCAATATTATTTGCATATAGGAGTAAAATACAAAAATCAAGTAAAATGACACCATTTTATTTGACTTATGAAAGAAGAGTAATATTACCAAATGATGAAGAAGTTAAAGGAATTACAATGATTAAAAGAATAGAACATATAATAGAAGAATTACCAATAAAAAGAAATGAAGCGAAAAAGAATATTGAAAAAGCACAAGGACAACAAAAGAAATATCATGACAAAATTGGAAAACGAAAACAAAACTTTCAAATAGGAGATAAAGTATTATAATTTGACAAAGCGAAATACAAAAAACATACAGGAAAAATAGAAGAAAAATGGAAGGGACCATATTATATACATGAAATAATAATAAATGGATCATACAAAATTAAAGAATTAAATGGAAGAATTTTAAGAAGACCGGTAAATGGAGAATTATTAAAGGAATATTTTGATAGGGAAATATTTGAACTATATATAATAATATAATATGTTTGAGACCCGAATTCGATTCTTAATTTATGGGACATAAATTTTTCAAAAGGAGGATAAATGTAATAACTGAAAATATAATAAATAAATGACGCAGTAAATCCTGTGGCACAGTAGGTCACATGATATGGTTACACAAGAAGAAATAGTTAGGAATACAAAAGTCACGTGACAAGTCACATGGCGCAGTAAATGACGGATAAATATTTAGCCGATGGATAAATAATTAGCCAATAAAATTATATTTATAGTTTAGTTTAGTGTAACAAGATAGTCAAATGATAATAGATCTTCAAATTTTATTAGAAATATTAGAAATATTAGAAATATTTTTCTTAAAAATGTATAAATACAAGTGGATTTCGATAGGAAATTCCGCAGTTAAATTTTTGGAAAAATAAAATTTTTAGTTCGCCCTTAATAAAAACAAACACATTCTTTTTGCCTTTTTCTTATGAGTAAAAAGTGCCACATTAATAATTTATTTTATTAATGGTTTATTAATGTTTTGTAACTAAATTTTATTTTAAACTAAGCATAGATATTATACGAACTCAACACGTCGGTGGCAACATATGATATTTTATTTTAATATCCTATGGGCGGCGTGTCACAACGCTTGTTGCTTAAGATCCTAATAATAGATATGCTATTAAACGGAAGAATGGAACTTGGATAGTAATTGACTATTCTACTGGTCTTCATATTATGAATTTACATAATGAAGCAAAAGCATTTGATCTTACTATAAAAGATGTTTTTGTTGCTGAAGAACAAAATCATAATACCAGATATCTTTTCATTCGTAATCAAGAAATAGAGAATTCATTAATACCATTATTACCTGGATTTGTAGTTTTCACTACTGCCGGCAAAAAACAGTTCAAATTATCGATTTTGGAAAGTAACAATCAATTGCTTTTTTTTTGGGAAGAATTTGGCTCTGATTCATTATACATTAAAAAAAAGGCACAAGGTGTTGGGAGACTTGCATTTCATTGCATGTTGAAGAAATATGGTCTTGATTCAAATACCTGTCTTTGATCAATCCTTGGTCTTTATGAACCTCAAATAATCATCAAACTCAAACAACTTGTTCATGAAAAGTTTCCCTTGCAATATCCAACTATTTTTCAACAAGAATCTTTAGAAAGTTCACAGAAAGCTAATGCAAAAAAAAAGAAGAAACATTATATCGTAGTTTGAAACAGGATCAAGGAAAAATTGATGATTTTTTATGTGAAAATACTAGTCAAGATATTCTTTTTGGAATTCAGGTTGAACTTAATGGAAAAACATTATCACCAAAACCAGCACAGGCTCTAATATTAAAAAGTATGGAATATAAGCAAACAATTTACTTCCAAAATAAAACAATTAAGATGTTAAAAGAAAGAATTATTTCACTAAATGGAGAAACTGAAAATGAAAAAAATGATATAACTACTCTTAACAATTTGGAGACTCAAAGGTTGGTGGAAAAGGAAATTAAAAAAAAAAATTTGGGATCAACTATTTTCATGAGTACTGCACAATATTTCTCCATTCTTCTTTCATTACCTTGCCCCAATTGTCATGATCTTATTACATCAAATCAGACATTTTACACTACAGTATTAGGATTTAGGATATTTTGTGTTGTTACATGTCTTCTTTGCAAAACATCAACACAATATTCAAATGAAGATTCTGGAATCAAATACTCTCGTTTAGTTGCAGGAGCCACACTTTCTGGGGTGATGAATAGGAATTCTTTTCAGACAGCATTAGCGACAATTGGAGTTACAAACCAATGTAGCAAGCAGTCTTATAATCGTCATCAAGCTCGTATGGACAAGCCTATAATTGATAGTGCAAAATCAATAGTGAAATAATTTTACTCGAAATTTTGGATCAATTGGAAGCAAATCATTTACCAGGTCAAGAGAAAGTGCTGCCCGTAGGGTTTGATTGTTCATGGTCACATGCTCGTAATGCACACCAAACTAGTGAAGAATTCTTGTACTTAGGAGATCTTCCTGGTATGAAGAAAATTATTTGATATAAGATAAAATATTATTAACAGAAATTATTTCATAGGATACAATTACCAACCTGTAATTGGATTCTATACAGTGGAAAATTATCGATCAGCATAAAAACCTGGAAATGATTCATCAAGAATAATTCATCAAGGAAATTTTGATGGGAGCTCAAGACAGATGAAGCATGCCATTTTAATCGCATTACTTAATAATATAATACCTATTCTTGAAGAAACTGATTTCACTTTACATGTATGTGTTGATGAAGACCTAGAGACTAACCGAACTTTGGCATGCATTCCTGCAGTAAGCCGTATTTTTGCTGACTTAAAGCATGTTAGTAAAAATATTCAAAAGAATCTTTGTAAGTATGTTAATTTTGCAGTTACGCATGTCTTTTTTTTTTTTTTTTTTTTTTTT